CTGAAGGTGATTTATGAGAACCTCACGGTGGAAGTGACTCCATCGAAGACTTAGGTGGCGTTTACCCGGGAGGGTTCTGGGAAGATCTTTGGCCTGGGACTGAATTGTTTATGCAAAGAAAGAATGTTTTATGACTAATTGCCCCACACTTTAGAATTAGGCATGAATGCCCTTTGCTGAGCGATATATCGTGTTAATTTTGTTACTTGGTTTTCTTGCCGTGACAGAAGGGTGACACTTCCGGTATCTCAAGTGTCTGCTTTGGCACCTTTGAGGGAGATAAAGTGGGCTTCCTAGTTAATCTGAGGACCGTAGTGTTTGTCCAGGATCAGGAAGCTGTTCAGGGTAAGGGAAATGTCAGAAACTTGCTTAAGGGAAAAAAAATCAGAATAAGAAAGCAGAGTTTAGTTGTGAAGAAAGGCGTAGGGAAACATGAGAATGGAGAGAGAGAGAGAGTGAGTATATGTGAGAGAGACGGACAGACACTCCCCATGTGAAAAATATTTCTTTAGCTTCGTTACTGAAATGAAGTGTTTGCTGTTCCGTGGTCTCCCTGCTCCGGGGCTTTTTTCTATTAGAAATTTAGAGGATGTCTTGTTTTCTGACCTACTTCCTTGAGGACAGTGAAGGAACCAGGTGACTGAGTCCCTGAGGGCCTTGTTTTGGGAAAGATCACTATAATAGCCTCTGGCAGTGACCATGAAGTGGAAGCGTGCTGTTGTGAAGGAGAGACCCACGGGTTTACATATTCTTCTCAACACTTTACTTTTTGAGAAAATTAAGATAATTTTTAAATCCCAGAATCATTACTCTTTTAGGAGATTTACTTAGGGGACTTTTTTTGGTTTTGGTTTTGGTTTTTGTCGATGTCTAAATGGGCGGGTTGATTTTTTCGTTCAGGCTCTCAGAGACAGTGACAGCTGATCCTTTGCTTTTACGCTTTCCTCCTTCCCCAGCTGCTCCTCGGTCGTGTCCTCTGAGGACCCCTCTTCCTTTCCCTAGACATGTGCGTCTTCTAGCTCCCGGTTCACTTCTCTGTCTGCGCTCACTGCCCTAGCTCAGACCCAGAATAGAAGTACCATCTGTTTGCCAGAATGTTTATTTCCATCCAGTCCGTCCTTCCAGACTCCAGACTTGGACGCTGGACGCTCTTTCACACATAGAGAACAGACACATCAAACTTCACCCTTCTACAATTGAACAGAGGTTGTTCCTGACTTGTGAAACCCGTTACTTAAAGACTTTGTCTCAGGTGGTGGCAGCTCTGTTGCTCTGGCCAAAAGCTTGTAGAAATCATTAATTACCTCTTCTCTCATATCCTTCCTCCAGTCCATTAGAAAGTCCTACTGACTGTAGCCCATTGGTCGATCTCTTCCTGTGGCCTCGGCTGTCACCATCGCAGTAGAAGCTGCCATCATTTCTTGCTGAGGTTATGCAATAGCCTTTTGCCAGAGGAGCCTCTTTGCCCCTTTGTCCTCAGCTTCGCTGCCAGCCCGATCCAAACACGTGGAGGGAAATTTAGGTCATGGCACCTTCCTCCAAACCCTGCAGTGCTCCCTGTGTTTCTCAGGTTGCTTGGACCAGCGTGCTCCCACCCCAGGGCCTTTGCTTTGCCGTCCACTGCCGACAGTGCTCTGTCCTTCCTTACTCTCTTGGCCTGAGCCTCGTCTCTTCAGGTCAGATCTCATCTTCCCGGGGAGCTTCTCCAGACTGCCCTGTCTTCAAGGCAGCTGCCTCTTCTTTGGGTCCTTGACCTTCTTCACCCTGCTCCACCTTTCCTGTTCCACACGCTTCTCTCTTTCTAACATACTAAAGAGGAGCATATCCTGTATGGTAGCCAGTAGCCACATATGGCCCTTTGTATTTTATTTTATTTTATTATTTTTTAAAGATTTTATTTATTCATTTGACAGACAGAGATCACAAGTAGGCAGCAAGGCAGGCAGAGAGAGGAGGAAGCAGGCTCACTGCGGAGCAGATAGTCTAATGCGGGGCTCGATCCCAGGACCCCGAGATCATGACCTGAGCTGAAGGCAGAGGCTTTAACCCACTGAGCCACCCAGGTGCCCCAACCCTTTGTATTTTAATTAGCGAAAATTAAATAACATAAAAAATCTGGTTCATAGTCATTCACAATGACCACATTTTAAGTGCTCAAGAGTCACCTGAGGGGCCGCCTGGGTGGCTCAGTGGGTTAAAGCCTCTGCCTTTGGCTCAGGTCATGGTCTCAGGGTCCTCGGATCGAGCCCCGCATCGGACTCTCTGCTCAGCGGGGAGCCTGCTCCCCCTCCCCCTTTGCCTGTCTCTCTGCCTACTTGTGATCTCTCTCCCTGTCAAATAAATAAATAAAATCTTAAAAAAAATAAGAGGCACGTGTGGCTGGCGGCTGCTGTGTTAGATTGTACAGAGAACATTTACAGCATCTAAGAACATATTACTGGACTACAGTGGTATAGAATTTACAGATTTATTATGTTTGATGTTTACTTTCTTTCTCTCAAAAGAATATAAACTTCATAAAGACAGAGGTTTTTTTCTCTAAATAGAGAAATTACTTATAAAATAATTGACTGTAGTAAAGTTACCTAGAACACTAGTTGACCCATAGTAGGTGATCAATAAATGTATGTTGAGTTGAGTGGAATTACCATTTTATTTGAAATAAAGGATTGAATTTGTTTCATTCACCAAGTAATTATTAAAATAAAAATATTTTAATAATTTTGTTAAATTAAATGTAGCTGCCATTTTTGGAATGCTTATGTGCTGGGCCTGCTGCTGCCCTCGGGATTTATTTCATTGACTTCTTATAGAAGTTGGGTATGGGGGTGCCCGGGTGGTTGAGTTGGTCGGCGTCCAGCTCTTGATTTAGCTGAGGTCATGATCTCAGTGTCATGAGATCGAGCCCTCTGTCGGGCTCTCCATTCAGTATGGGGTCTGCTTGAGATTCTCTCTCTCCCTCTTCCTTTGCCCTCCCCTTGCTTGTGTACTCTCCCTTTCTCTAAATAAACATACATATATTTTTTAAAAGAGGGGTGTCTGTGTGTGTAAAATTCCCAACCGCAGATCAGGGAATGGGTATAGAGAGGCTGAATGGCTGGACCAAGGAACACGAACCAGCTGAGTGGTACAGCCAGAGTTGAGACCGGCTACACAGGATTTCCCACGCTGAGGCTTAGCCAGCACTCAGTTATCTAGTTCCTGCGTCTCAGGTCATCAGTTTTGCAGTTCTGGTTAAATCTGTCTTCTACTTTCTGCTCATTGGGATTTTTAAAAGTGCTTTGGGTAGGTAGTTCCAGTGTCCGGGGAGGGCTGAGGACCTGTGGTGTGTGCCAGCGGTCCCCAAGCTTGATCGCACTGTGGAGTCACCTGGGGAGCTTCCAAAGCCACGGTAGCCCATGCTTCTCCCCCAGGATTGGGATTTAATTGGTCTGTGCTGGGGTCTGGAGTTTGGAAGTGTTCAGATTCCCAGGTGAGTCCAGTGTGCAAGCGCATGTGGGGCCTTCTGGTTTATGCCGTGGTGTTGGACCGTGGCTGCGCATTAGTATCACTTGAAGAATTTTAAAAACTCCCGTAATCCTGGTTTACACCCACCCTGACTGAGTACAGGCAGTGGACCTAGTTTTTGACACTCCTGGTGACTCCGGCGTGTGGCCAAAGGGCAGTTCAGGGTTCTTCATTTTCTGTCCTGTATACTTTTGGACCAACTCCATTTAGTTTCACAATTCAGAATACTTGTGGAGTAAAGGGAGAAACGATGGGTCTAGAAGATGCTTTTCCTTATACTGAGTTCAGCTGCCTCCCCTCATATTTTTATTACCGTAAAATGTATAAAGCACAATGTTTACCAGTGTGGTCATCGTAAAGGGTACGGTTCAGTGTCATTAGGTATTTTCTTGATGTTGTGCAGCTGTGACCACTGTCAATTTTCAGAACTTTGTCATCATCCAGAACAGAAGTTCTGTACCCAAGAAAAAATAACCACTCGTTTCTCCTTCTTCCCAGCCTCTGGTAACCTTCCACTTTCTGTCTGAATTAGCCTATTCTAGGGACCTCAGATTAGTGGAATCATAAGTTCGTCCCTATGTGTTAACTCTTTTCACTTAGCACAGACTCGTCTATGTTGTCACCTGTCAGCATCACATTTCTTTTGCAAGGCTGAGTAATATTTCATTGCACCTTTACACTAAATTTTGTTTATCCACTTAACTATTGGTAAACATTCGAGCTCATTTTCTTAAACCAACATGAAAGAATACAGAGCTAAGCAAATTATGGAAAGTGATGTGTTCCGCATTCCAGATCGTTAGCTAACAGAGTTTGCTTTGCCTGCTCGTATTCCTGTAGTTCAGTTAGGGTTGAACTGAAGGGGATATTCCTGATCTTTCTGATTTACTAATTCTAGCCCTTTCCCCTTGCTCTTGTTTGTATTATTTGGATGGTTTAAAAAATGAATTTGCCTTCTGTAACCAAAGAACCATTAACAAAAATTAAAAATCTTTGGGGCGCCTGGGTGGCTCAGTGGGTTAAGCCGCTGCCTTTGGCTCAGGTCGTGATCTCAGGGTCCTGGGATCGAGCCCTGCATCGGGCTCTCTGCTCGGCGGGGAGCCTGCTTCCCCTTCCCTCTCTCTGCCTTGCCTCTGCCTGCTTGTGATCTCTGTCAAATAAATAAATAAAATCTAAAAAAAAAAATAAAAAAAATTAAAAATCTTTGGGGCACATGTGTGGCTCAGTGGGTGAAGCCTCTGCTTTCGGCTCAGGTCATGATCTCAGGGTCCTGGGATTGAGCCCCACATTGAGCTCTCTGCTCAGCAGGGAGTCTGCTTCCCCTTCTCTCTCCGCCTGCCGCTTTGCCTACTTGTGATCTCTCTGTCAAATAAATAAATAAAATCTTAAAAAAAAAAGAAAAGAAAAATTAAAAATCTTTCATTAAGAAAAGTGAAAGTAATATTCTTTCCCCGTGTTTTCTAGAGCTTGTTCTTTTTCACTGTGTTCTCCAGGAGTACCGGGTGTCAAAGAAGAACGTTTTGAAGAAGGAATGATGGTAAAGCACTGTGCATTGTCCCTAGTGGGAGAACCCATCATGTACCCGGAAATCAACAGGTTTTTGACACTACTCCACGAGTGTAAAATCTCTAGTTTCCTGGTCACAAATGCACAATTCCCTGTGGAAATCAGGTGAGCCATCCAGCTTATTAAGATACTCTGCTAGGATCTGTGTTTGGCAGAAAGGCCTTAATGTATTCATAAAGGGCTTATTGATTACTAATTACATATACATACTGGCTTTTTAGGGGTGAGAGATGGGCCTACTCTTGAAAATTCACTCTATTAAGGAAGATAACATTAGTAAAAAGAATAGAGGCACAAATTAATTGCTGGGGGAATTCAAAAGAGAATGCAGTGTTTTTTCCAGAAGGGTGAAACTTCTCAGAGAAGCCACTGTTTAATTGGAATCTTAAAGGTAGGAAGCTGTAGTTTTTAATAAGAACCTCTTGAGAGAGGTAGGAAGTTAGGGTGTTTGTGATACCATTATGTAAATATAGTTCATCTGGACCACAGAGTGTGCGCAAGAGGCTGGCAGCTGGAAGCCAAGTTGAAAAGGTAGGGGGTAGATTGGAGAGGACTTCAAGCGCTGTTCTTTGGAAAGATCTTGCTTCCTGCAGAGCAGTTTGCTAGCATGGTATAAAACGGGAGAGCCAGAACTCAGGCACCCAGACAGGAGAGTGTTTGTTTAGGTAAGAGTCATGAAGATGGAAGTAAGACAGTGAGAATGAGGAACCCTAAAAAAGACATCATGGAGATGTAGAGATCAGCTTGGCAGACTGCATGGCTCTGAGAGCCCTGCGTGGAAGAGGACCAGTTAATGACTGGAGGGGTTCCAGCCATGTTGACTGCTAGGGTTATGGGGCCCTGGAGCAGTAGAGGATCCAATAAAGAACAGGTTTAACATGTAAGATGTTGAGTTGGTTTGGGTGACTTAGAGGGAAAGCTTTCCAGATGCAGATGACCATCTTCTCTGGCCTGGAAATGACTTGTTTTTTTTTTCATTATACTTGAACTGTGCACGTATTATAACACCAAAAAACATTAAATTTTACTTATTTTCCTGTGCTTTCCCCATAAGACTGAGTTGCTTGAGACCGGTGACCCCTGCTTACTTATCTTCACGTCACTTAGTGTAGTGCCTATGAGTTCTTGGGAGATGGCTAGTGAAATGTTGGGGAAATTTCCACAGAGGAATAAAAGACAGTGATTTTTTAAAATTCAAAGTTGTTTTGTAAATACTGACCAATAAAGTATAACAGGAAAAAAAGGAGAAAATAATTATCAAATTTAAGAAAGACCATATAGGAGTGATTGATGTCAGAGTCATGGAGGCCTGCCTCATTCCCTTTTTCTCTTGCCTTCCATTTACAACTAATCATATACCCATAACCAAACAAAAAAAAAAAGCACCTCTGTACAGCACACCAGGACACCCAAGAGAAGCATTTGTGTGTGCACCCAAAAGTGAGTGGATTGGGCAGTGGAGTGAGGGGGGGCAGCAGAGGCTGCAGGGACGGGTCTGGTAGGGAGCCAGCACCACCCTTCTGGCAGAGGAGGTAGAGGCTGAAAGCGGTTGCTACAGAGCTGGAGAACCTGTTGCTCTCTCTGCGAAACCACAGTGACTTGAGGGCTGGGAGGTGGGGGAGTGAAAGGGAAGGGAGGAAGGCAGACACGGAACTGGAGGAAAGTATGTTTCCTGCTGTCTGCCCCAGGGGATTTAGGGGAAAGTGCCCATGGAGCTCTGGGAACCCCCTACTTGAGGGCCCCGAAAGCCCTAGGTGCTAAACACACCCCACCTTCCACTGTGCTGCCACCCCCCCCCTTTTATTTTAAATGCACAGCTCTCCCAGCCCTAGTGGGGAGTCAGCGCTGGTAAGAGAAACCAAAGACTTGTGCTGCAGCACCACCTTCTGGAAGAGAAGAGGAAGGCTTCCCATCACCAACCTGTTAAAACTATTAGAATCAAACTAAACAAGGCTTTTACATAAATAAGAAAGGTGTCTGCTGCTTTAGATGTGGTGGCAGAGGCACTTTTCATGAAACACTATGAAAAATCATGGTAATATGGTATCACAAAAGGAAAATGACAATTTTCTAGTAACAGATCCACAAAACACGGACCATTGCAATCTGATACATAATTCAAAACTAGCTATTATGATGGACTTCAACAAACTACAGGAAAACTTATGAAGGCAATACTGTGACCTGTGACCTCAGGAATAAAATTAGTGAATAGAAGAAATACTTTAGCAAAGAGATTGAAATTCTAATGAAGAACCAAACAGAAATTCTGGAGCTGGAAAACTCAAAAAATGAAAGGAAGAATGTATTTTGAAAGCATTGGAAATAGATCAGATCAGATGGAAGAGAGAATTCATGAGCTGGAAGATAGGGATCTAGAAATGATTCAGGTGGAAGAGGAGAGAGAACTAAGATGTTAAGAAAGTAAAGAAACCCTGTGAAAACTATTAGACTCCATTAGGAGAGTTATCATTAGATGAATGGGAATTTCCAGAGGGATAAGAGAGAGAGAAAGGAGCAGAGTGCATATTTAAGGAAATAAGAGCTGAGAACTTCTCAAACCTGGGGAGGGAACTGGACAGACAAGTCCACAAAGCTAATAAAACACTTATCTCAATGTGAAAAGACCTTCTTTAAGACACATTATATTGAAACTGTCAAAAGTCAATGGTAAAGAATTTAAAAGGCAACCTGGGGGAAAAAGACAATAACTTACAAAGGAACCTGCATTAGACTTTCAGCAGATTTCTCTGCAGAAACTCTACAGCCTTGTGAAGAGCGGAATGATTTTTTTCAAAATAGTGAAAGATAAAACCTGCCTCCCAAGAATATCTGGCAAAGTTATCCTTCAGATATGAAGTAAAGATAAAGGCTTTCCCAGACAAACCACAACTGAGGGGAGTTCACCACCAATAGACCTGCCTTACAAGATACGTTGCAGGGAGCTCTTCAAGCTGAAATGGGAAGATGAAAATACACAAAATGCTGATTAAGGTGGTAAATGGACAATTAGAAGACTGTAACTCTTTTTTACAATAGTATATTAAACCCTTAATTATAGCATAAAGTTTAAAGGAAAAGTATTAAAAATAATTGTACCTGCTACCACTTGGTAACAAAATCACTGCCTGAAAAGGTAATTTGTCACATCAAAAATACTGAAGAATAACATTCATCATATGGTTTCACTCATATGTGGAATGTAACAGCGCAGAGCTATAGGGGAAGGGAGGGAAAACCCATGAGAGATGCTGAACTCCAGGACCCAAACTTTGGGCTACAGAAGGGCGGGGGTGGGGGGATGGGTAACCGGGTGTTGGGTATTAAGGAGGGCACGTGTTGTGATGAGCACTGGGTACGCAACTAATGAATTGTTGAACACTACCTCAGAAACAAACGGTGTGCTGTATGTTGACTAATTGAACATAATAGTTAAAATAAATACTGGAGTATCAAAAGGATGGAATTATAGGCAAATCAAGATAAATGGCTATCTGCAGAAAAAATGGCTATTTCATCTAGAGGTGTTTTTTGTAGTCCTCATGGTAACCACTAGGCAAAAAATGTAGAGCATAGACAGGGAAACATAAAGAAGAGGGGAGACTGAGCAAATCACCATGGAAACCACCAACTTACAAAGGTAGAAACAGAACGAAAAAGAAACAGTGGGAAAGCAAAAGATAAAATGGCACTAGTAAATCATTACATATCAATAACTGCCCAGAATTGAACCCAGCAATCAAGGGCTCAGAGTGGCTGAATGGATTTCAAACAACAGCAACAAAAACCACACAGGACTCCGCTATATGCTGAAGACACCAGCAGGCACAAAGTAAAAGGGTGGAAGGTGACCATCCAGGCGGTGGGAATCAAAAGAAGGTAGGTGGGGCATCCCTCTCTCCAAGTCGAAAAGGGTCACGGGGACAAGGAAGGCCATCACACAATGGTAAGTGAATCTGCACGTCAAGAAGATAGAACACTTGTGTGTACAGTTCCAGCGCCCAAGCACCAAGTACATTAGACAAATACTAAGAGATCTTGAGGTACAACTCAATAATGCAATGACAATAAAGGACCCAGATACCCTATCTCAGCAGTGGATGGATCAGGAAGTTGATAAGGAAACCCCGGAATTGAACCACACTTCAGAGCAAACAGACTTCACGGACATATGTGGAACATTCCAAAGTAAGTCAAGAACTTGGTTGGTTTAGCAACAAAAAACAACCTGATCAGAAAATGAGCAGAAGAACTAAATAGGCATTTTTGCAAAGAGGACATCAAAATGGTCAACAGGTGCATGAAAAATTCACAACATCACACATTGTCAGGGTGATGCAAATCGAAAGCTCAGTGAGGTACCACCTCACACTTGTTAAAATGACCATCACTGAGAAGACGAGACAACAGGTGCTGGTGAGGATGTGGTGACAATGGAACCTTTATACTTTGTTGATGGGAATGTGAGTTGGTGCAGCCACCATGGAAAAGAATGTGGAGGAATATGGAAGTTTCTCAAAAAATTAAAAATAGATCTACCATATGATCCAGCAACTCCACTTCTGGATATATACCCAAAGGAAATGAAAACAGGATTTTGATGAGATAAGTATTTTGATGTTTATTGCAGCATCATTCACAATAGCCAAGCTATGGAGACACCCAACTGCCCATCAACAGATGAACGGATAAAAACCGTGTGGTACATATACACCACGAAATATTGACCGATAAGAAAGGAGGATATCCTGCCATTTGCAACAACTTGGATGGACCTCGAGCACGTTATGGTATGCAAGTCAGAGAAAGACAAGTACTGTGTGATACCATTTATGTGCGGAATCTCAAAAAGTTAAAAAAAAAAAAAAGTAAGTGATGGTTACCAGGGAATGATGGAGGGTGTAAGATTGGTGATGTTTAAGGGTACAAACTTGTAACAAGTAGTAACTAAGCCATAGAGACCTACTGGATAGTATAACGAATAGAGATAATAATAGTGTACTAAATTACGTAATGTTATAAATGTTACTCTGACAATCATATGACAGTATACAAATGTAACGCGTTATACACCTTAAACTTACAGTGTCACATGCTCAATTTAT